CAGGGACATGAGCAATAATAGCTTTAATGCATCCGAAGCTCCACTATGGTTCTCACGCCTACCGTCTTTGACGACATTGTACCTTCTTTGTCTCTCATGTTGGCCTTCTTAAGTTCAAAAAGCACGGTTGAAAAATGTATTATTTTTGTGTCTGAATGAGAACTTACAGGATAATGGACAACACCGGACTTCAAGGACAAATTCCGGTCGACATCTTCGGACTTCCTCAGTTGGAGACTCTGTAAGCTCATCATATGTCTCACTATTCAAATTTATTTCCAACTGCATCAACCTGTGTTATACATATTGTCCATTTTTTTCTCCAATTTACCAAACAAAAAGGAAAAAGAATGTCTGAGCCAAACAAAAAGGAAAAGAATGTCTGAGCCATAATGTTTATTTCCAACAGGGTTCTCAGAAATAACAACTTGACTGGAATTTTGAATATTGGCAACACCTATGGCAGTAACTTGTCCGTCGATCTAAATAATAATTCCATCACTGGCTTTCAGCAGGCAACGGATTACCGCTTGAACCTAACGTATGCTTAATCTTTCTGTTTCAATATCTTGCATTTTATAAATTCCGTCCACAGTTTATTACTAACTTCATTGATTTGCTTCTATTGACTACTCCTACAGTTTAGTTTTTAGCAAATAGTACTGCCAAAGGAAAGAGAAAAAAAATAAAAATAAAAAAATTTAATCCTTTCTTTTTCCTTCTCCTTTTTTGATGAATATTTCTATTTCAGACTCGTAGGCAACCCAGTCTGTAACAGAAACGAGCCACCTGCACGGTTTTGTTCCGTGGCCACACGTGGCAATGATCTTTCACCATCAAACAATTGCGGGGCCATGTCGTGTGGAGCAAACGAAGTGCTGAGTCCTAGCTGTCTTTGTTTGCATCCATACACCGGGACCCTCCACTTCTTCTCATTTGGCTTCACAGACTTGCAAAACTCGACTTACTTCAACATCCTCCGTGGGACACTCATGTCCGCTTTTCTCTCCAATGGGCTCCCAGTCGACTCGGTCAACTTTACTAATCCGACAATAAGCGCCTTTTCTTACATGGAGGTACCGCTGCACATATTCCCTTCCGGACGGGACCCCTTCAACCGGAGTTCGGTGTCTAATATAGGTTCCTTGCTCAACCGCCAGCTGGCCCCACTTTTCCCGGTCCGTTATTTCGGGCCTTTTTATTTCGTTGATGAAGAATATTGCTGCTTTGAAGGTAACATCCATTATGCTCATCACTATTCAAAAAAGGAACTACACCTCAGGTTAATTTTCTAGTAATTTTCCTCTTTTAATTAATAAATATCTTTCAGGGTCGAGAGGGTCGTCGAATGTTGGTCTCATAGTTGGTGTGACAATAGGTGTCTCAGTTGTCGTGATCCTTATTATCCTGGCCGGGATTTATGCTATTCGTCAGAGGAAACTTGCAAAAAGAGCTATTGAGAGGAGCAACCCTTTTGGTAAATTCCAAAAAAAAAAAAGAATAAAAAAAGAGTATGATAAGTAATATGACATTTTAATCATTGAATATGATGCAGCATCATGGGACCCGGAAAAGGAAACTGGTGCAGTTCCCCAGCTTCAGGGAGCAAAATGGTTCTCCTTTGAGGATCTCCGCAAATGTACTGATTATTTTTCCGAATCGAATTGCATTGGTCATGGAGGATATGGGAAGGTTATTTCTCGCACTTTCATCTTCTGAAAACTTTGAAATTTCGTCACGTAATAAATTTATCCTTTTTGCATATCTGACTAACATTTTAAGCTAAGATAGCTGTCGACTTTTGGTTTGGTCAGTGTGAGTAAAAAAGCACCGATAAATAAATAAATAACAATATTAGTAAACTACATATTGGGTTTTGGTTGAAAGGTTTACAAGGGGACACTTGCCCCTGGACAAGTGGTAGCCATAAAGCGAGCCCAGCAGGGGTCGATGCAGGGCGCAAATGAGTTCAAAACCGAAATCGAGCTCTTGTCCAGGATCCACCACAAAAACGTAGTCAGCCTCGTTGGGTTCTGTTATGAACATGGAGAGCAAATGCTGGTGTATGAGTACATATCTAACGGCACACTCAGAGAATGCCTTTCAGGTAAATTTGGAATTTTAATATTTGTTTTTAGTTTCCTAATCTAATTCGTAAATGCTTGATATTTTTTGTAGGCAAGTCGGGATCCCGTTTGGACTGGAACAAGAGGCTGAAAGTAGCCCTTGATGCCGCCAGAGGCTTGTCGTATTTGCACGAGCTATCAGACCCTCCCATAATACACAGGGATGTCAAGTCAACTAACATCTTATTAGACACTAATTTCACTGCTAAAGTCGCTGATTTTGGCCTCTCTAAGCTCTTGGGTGACACTGGCAAGGGCTACATCACCACACAAGTCAAAGGGACATTGGTCAGCTAATCAAATTTCTTGAAATTTTAATTTTTAGCACGTAATTCTCAGTAATTAAACAAAATAAGGAAATGGAAGCATGTAACTTATTCTAAAAATAAATTAATGAAAAAATTAATGCTACTAATATTATATATTTTTGTTTTCACTTCAGGGCTACATGGATCCGGAATATTATATGACCAATCAGTTGACTGAGAAAAGTGATGTGTACAGCTTTGGGGTAGTGTTATTAGAACTTGTGACCGGTCAAGCCCCAATACAGCGCGGGAAACACATCGTGAGATTAGTTCAAGAGGCAATGGGAGGCCCAAACCTCGATGATATTATCGATCCAGTGTTGGGGTCGGGCCTCAAACTATCCGGGTTGCGGAGATTCCTGGAGCTGGCAATGAGCTGTGTCAAGGAAAGTGGGACAAACAGGCCCACTATGGGGGAGGTCGTCAGGGAGATTGAGAACATAATCGACGAGAAAGGGAATAAAGGGCTTTCTTCATATAGCTTCGATGATGATGATGATGATGATGATGATGATGATGATGATGATGATGATGATGATGAGACAAGCAACGAAGAGAGGGCCCTTCATTCTTACGCAGCCTAGGGGTTTTTACACGAGCTGTGATTTGTTCCTTCTGTATGTAGAAGAGTAGAGTCAGTGCCAGAGTTGGTCACTTTTTGGGAATATTACTTTTCAAGTTCATTCATGCAATTATTTTGGTGTGCCGTTTGATTTTGTTGATCTATTAGGAAAAAAAACAAGGGGATTTTGGCAAGTATTACTTGTATATATATAGATTACAAGATAACTAGTTGGATGGTGTGATAAATAGTTAGCATCACGTTCTTTGCAGTTTTCATGTTTTTAGTAAGTTTCACATCTGTAATGGTAACTATTCATTGATTGTATTATTCTGTTGGGAGGTTCCTACGCTCAAGATTAATTCTTATTATCATAATCTCGAAGTTTGTTCTAGTGATTTTACAATTAATTTGATGGTGTCTGCCGTTGGGAAGGTCCACATCGCCATTTATTTGCTTCACCA